AAACTCTATTCGAGATATGTAGTCATAGTGTCTTGCTAGAGACCGCCTATGACTTGTATATCCGAAATAGAGATTTCGGGTTATACTGCTATATCGAATGAACCTACAGGGTCACACACGCAGGGAAGGACGAAACCGCACGAGGAAACGAAGAAAAACCGAGACAGAAGGGTCTGGAACGGACGGACCGGAAGTCCAGAACGGACGGTCCACCAAGTCCAGACCCGACGGTCCAGAGTGCGCGGTCTGTCTGTTCCAGAAATGTCTGGAACGGACGGTCCACTAACGCAGACCGTCAACTCTGCTTACTGGAACGGACGGTCCACGTGCATTTCTGGACCGTCCATTCTGGGCTCGGGGTATTTTCGTAATTGAACCGAAATTAGGGTAAAATCACTTTATAAGAAGGAGATTAAAACCCTAATGACGGATGAGACTTTGAGCAGCCGACTTTTGCAGTTCTTGGAGAGTTTTTGGTGAGATCCAAAAAGCTCAACATGTTCTAAGTCTCATTTTCTCGAAGTGCGAACAACCGAATAGAGATTCGAGTCCTAGCAGACAAGTTCCAATCGTTAGAATCCATCCCGAGGTGTGGATACGTGTAGAGGGCGAGGTAATCTTCCTGTCTTTCGTGATCAGACGTGTTCTTCGATTGATACAGGCCCCGGATCGATTGAGGTAAGCGTTCTAACGTTTCTACGATTCATTAGAAGCATGGTTTTAGGGTTTATTAAATTTTTATTTTATATCCGCTGCGCAAACCCTAGAATCGATCTCTTAGGAATAGGATTCGCTCTAGAGATTGCAGGAAACCCAACACTATGTAGTTCATTGGGGTTTCAATCACAAATACTCCCAACTCATACTACACCACGACTCCAATAATAGGCCATACGTATTGGTTTAGTGTTCTATGATGTACTGTTATGCGAGCCTTATTTAGATACATTTGATGTATTGACACTTTCTATGGTTTCTGGATGAGTGTTTCATTCATTACATTTTGTGCATACTTGAATCTCATACAGCGGTTCGTTCTTGGATCCTCAGACCTGAGATGTCTAGAGTATCTGATATGAGGAGTAGCGTGTCTTGACTGCGTCAAACGTCGTCTTTAACCGGATGATTATAACGGCGTTGATGAGATACATTCAAGAATCATATGGAGATAGTAGACGTGCAATATGGGACTTGTCACCTCAAGATATCGCTGGGCCCTTTCGTGGAAATCGGACTATGAAAACGCGTGGCCACGCTATAGATGAAGTTGCATCTATTTTATTAGTTGATTTGCCAAGACGAGAAAGTAGTTGAACTTGAAGGGTGGCTCAAACCATGCCCAGAACGGATGGTCCGAGACCCAGATTCCGAAATTTTTTGTTTTCTAAGTCCGATTATGCAATCTTTACTTAATTTGATCAACTGTGACTCAAATAGACATGATTCATTCTTATGGATGATCCATAGTGAATGGATACATGTAACTTAATCAAGATATAAGATATGCTTGATTGAGTGGGAGCTTCGGGATTGGGATTACATAATCGAATGGATAGTCTGTTCGGATTATGTAATACATCTGATCAAGAAACAATAGTTCATCTTTGATAGTACAATCGTTGCACATAAACCAGTTAGATCTAGGAGCTCTACGAGTAAAGCACTTGTCAATGCCTCGATCGTACGTGTCATGGGTCATGCCAAAGCTGGGTGTGTCGTGGTATCAGAGCCTGGTTCTCTGTATATCGTCGTGCTTGTCGCATGCCTATATAAATTTTAATGGTTAAAATTGCATGATAGGCTTGATCTATGCATGTTTAATAATATTATGAATGTTATTTGATGCATGAATGAGTTTCTGGAAGGAGCCGGCTTGACGGTGCATCGAAATAGGGTGAATTCCTAATTTTCGTAGCTTGAAAGTGTCTTTCAAAGTTTTGACTCGGACAGACAAGTTTTGACTCGACCGAGTCAAAATGACAGAGTCAGAACGACAAATCAGAGTTTTGACTCAGACAGAGTCAAGTGTTGACTCGACAGAGTCAGAACGAATCAAAATCGAACAGACTTGACCTCAGAGGCTTCTGACTCGGACCGAGTCAAGTGTTGACTCGGACCGAGTCAGTATAGAATTTTGTCTAGTTCATCATGTTTTGGTTCAGACTGATTTGGAGAGATTTCGGCTTCTGACTCGGTCCGAGTCAATACTTGACTCGGACCGAGTCAGTTCGTCTGACTTTGTTAGATGCAATTGTTGCATCCGGCGGACCAGAGAAGCTGACCAAGGTCAGTCCGGCAGACCAGATTCTGGTCAACTCCGGACTGGACCTCAGACACTTCTCCAGTCCAAAATTTTGTCTTCTTCCTCATGATTAATCTCAAGCTATTACCGTCTATTAGTAGAGCAACTGTCAAGGCCTCGATCGTCACGGTTACGGGTCATGCCCTAGCTGAGCGTGCCTGATTATCTTGGTGAGTCAGTATGGAGAAATCTTGATTCTCATAGCTCGAATATGGTTGAGCTTGAATAGGGTTATCAAGTCGGACTTGGACCTGATGGTAAGGATGGGATGAGGAACATGCAGTGATAGCGTATCACTATCCCATACTCATCTAGGAATCACATAGGATGTGATTGACAA